CTTGAGCACAGGTCTTGAAGATTGTGGCTGAGGAAGCTAGCCTGCCCTGACCCTACAGTTCAGTGGTCCTCCCTGGGGAGAAAGGAGTTGGCTTCATCTGCATAGAATTGAAGTTTAATACAAAAACTATGAGTTAAAGAGATTTGGTTTCATAATTGCCATGTTAGGAAGCATTTTACCTGGAGAAGAATGTACTTTAAAAAATAACCAAAATCAATGCATGTCCACCATTGTTTTGGGTTTCTTCTCTGTCAAAAAACCTGGAAATAATTCCAATGGGGGATTTAAAGACTCACTATAAAACAACAACAACTAAAACCCCCCACAACTCCCCTCCGCAATACTACAGTCCTCAAATCCTGAAGCTCTTGACTTACTATAACATCAAGATTTGCATAAAGTAGTTTGGCTGTGATCAAAATTAAATTCCCTCTCTTGCTTCCAAGTGATCAGTTCTCTCTTATCTTCATGATAAAGAGGGACTGGGGTAGAATTTGTAAACAAGGGAAAATAGTGAACACAGCCTTCTCTGGTTTCATTGTGAATAATTCTGGCTTTGCTTCTTTGCTTTTGGCATCAGTTCATACTCCTGGCCTGGTGTCCCAAACTGTAGCCAGATATAGCATGGACTCTTTACTTTAAACTGGTATATGGTGTCATCCCGTGAAGATGCTGCCTCTGGTTATGATAATTTTAAGCAAAGTGTTAATTTAAAGGCCTGTGAAGATAGCAAAACACTTCTGTGGTGTAAGAATGATAACAAAAATCACATCTACAGTATATGAGAAAAAATGCTCTCATCAGATGAGTATGGAAATATTTACAAAATCCAAATGCTTATATGTAACTTGGATAAAGAGTTGAAATGTGACACAAAATATGGAATAGGAAAAGATTCACCTACTAATTATTATAAACAATCCATAGTATTTATTCAGATTTCAAATTCCCTGATTCCTTATACTTATGACAAAAGTGTCCAGCAAGCATAAGAAGGGTCAGCTTGGAGTGCTCTTGAGCCAAATACTAGTAACAAAAGCTGGAAGCTGGATGTAAACTATATTTTCTGTCTTTGAAAATTACATTCACACATGACTATGGTCTTTCATTCTGCAGACATATGTTTAATGATCAACGTGAGTGTGCAGTTCTAACATTTATTATAAGTTTCTTCCAAGCTTTTTTAAAAAGCACTGAAAGAAGAAAAGGCCTAAAGAGATTCTATTTGACCTTGGCAGCAGACAATGAAAGTCAGCATTTCAATGTTTTCAGTTTTCCAGCTTTGGAAAGGTAATGTCTACACTGGGAAAATGAATAATGTTAGAAAGAAGGTACCATTGTATGCCATTTTCTCATCTATGGAATACAGAGGATCTGGTCACACAGAAGGCCTGTGAAGTATGAATGAAGTGTGATATGGGACCTGATTAGGACTGAAAATTATTCCTCTACTGCAGTCCCTCTGCTGAAGTTGGTATTTCCTACAATCCAAATGTAGCTAATAGTTTTTCTACATGGGTAGTGACTCAAACTAGAGGACTAGGCATTTAGAAAATGTAAAGCTATTCTTATCAGATCAGAGCTACGTGAAGGAGAATTTAATATTTGTAATGTTTGTATAGAGATTTATCTCAGAGCCACTGCTTTCATTTATATTATTTCCCAGTCTAATCTAATATTTGCTTGGAATCTTCCTTGTGTTCAATATTTTTTAGAACTGTAATAAATAATCCAATTCAATTTAGAAAATAATAATGTTTTCCTCCAAATTCTAATAATCCTTTGATATAATCTGTACCAGTTATAGTAACATGTAGTAATTTCCTTCCCTTTCAATTTATTTCCCAGGTCTTTTTTCTTTCCTTTTTTTTTTTTTTTTGTTCAAAATGTTCGTAATGGGTTGGCAGATCTTTTTTGAATTCATGGTTTCAGAATATAATTTTCAATTTCTTCCTTTAATGTACTACATATTACTCCTGAACAATTATGCATAATCAATAATGCTGTGCTGCCCAGCACAAACTTTTCATTCATACATTTAGAGATATTCATAATACATGTTCTGGCTGTTTCTTCACTTCGGTTGTCTTATGCAGTGCATACAAAAAAGAGTTGCATGAATTCTTCATCCTTTTCAGGTACTGCAGGCAGAAGTTGCACATTTTTTATTATCACGTGAATTATAGCAGATCCCCAATGAAATGGACTTGTTTCATCCTTTAGTGTCTTTTTGCAAGACTAGTGTTAGTACATGGTAGTCCTCTGAAAACTCCATAGTTCTAACTGTTGTAGTGGATACTTTCTTTCCTAGATACTTTGAAACTCCTGGAGCTCAAGTCTAAAGAAGTTGGTCCAGCCAAACTCTTGGGGTTTTTTTGAGGTTTCATTTACTTTTCATACAAACTAAAACCCTTCATTTTTCAGTATAATTTACCAGATTCATAATGAGTAACTATTGACTTCTATAAATAGCTCCGTATTTTTACAAGCTGCTGTTTAATGGCCTCAGGTTTGGGCAGAGAAATGAAGGAAAAGAAGTGGTGGTAGTTACGTGAGGGTTCATGAAGTGTGCTGTTCTAGCCACGCTTTTATCTGGGGCAATGATTAACCTCCCAAGCCAGTTAGACATGGACTGGGTGAGAACTGTCTTCTTAGACCTGTGCATTGAGGAGAGAGATTTGTCTATGGTACAGTGTCAGTATGGTTGGTAATAGCCAGAGCTTTCTCAGTCATAGATCTTATTATGTTCCATCTTCAGATAAGTTATTAAATTACTTATCCCCATTGGAAATGTCACTTAAATGTTTTTCCCAGCTAGGCAGGCTGTATTCTAGTAGAGACAGCAGCTCTTTTATAGGCATCTGTTATGGCTATTTTAACTATAAATAAACTTCCTTCTCTATGTGTTCGGCTTTCCAAAACTCACTTGTAACACTCTTCAGAATGCACATTTGCTTCTCAGTTGGCTCTGGACCTTGACTGACTTTCTGCTTTGCATACCAAGAATGCCAAGCCACATGATCCTAATTTAGCAGGTCTTCCAGAGGTGTTCTCCATTGTGCATCATTTACAGTGTCTTTCTCTCTCTGCTGTGGTACAGGTATCTAACTAGCTTTTGACACTATATCCACAATTTAGGGATTTGTTTCAGGGGTATGTGGTGCTTGAAAATTTTAACCCAGTTTCTCCAATTTAAATCTTCTGTTTCTGTTGAATGAATTATAACTTCTGTAACATATTCCCTTCTCAGCATAGTGTAAGTGTCAGGTAAACATTGAGACAGTTTTAGTTAGAGTTGAAGGGAACTTTTTTCACTGTAGTAAGTATTTTAAGTACTGCGGATGCTCGTAATTTTAAAGGGAAATTTAAAAAAAAAAGGAAAAAATTTGGCATAAATTGTAAACCAACACAATACTATAGGTGTGTGTGGACCTAACATTCTGTGTGCATATTGGATCTGATCTCTTCTGATATATTTTTTGACTAGTTAACATGTTTGGAGGACAAATAATTTTCTAGAAAAAAAGAAGGCTTTACTGTGGGATAGATTTTACAAGGAGTAAGCTCAGCAAAAGTACTTCCCAGCATAGTGACTTATAGATTAACTTCTTGGCATAATCTTATTCTACAAAGTCAAACAAGAGTTTGCTTTCCTAAACCAAAGTAAATTTTACTTAATATTTCTTTTTGCTGTTGGGAGATAATAAGGAGGTCAGTGATCTGCTCTGCTGAAAAGTTCTAATTCTATTTTTCTGGAGGTTTATGTTCTTCTACTAGTAGACAGTGAAATGTTTACTGTGCTAAGGATGCTACTGTTGGTGAACCATTGGATTATTATTATTACATAATTATTAAATATGGTTTACAATAACAATTATGTAGCAATATGAGAAAGGACACCTGTTATAGTGTCATAGGAATGTATCCATTTAAACCATGTACCTAGGCATTAAGCTAGAGAATGTTTGTTACCCTCAAATATTAAGTATTCTTATGTCACTCCTCATAGAACAAACAGAACATTCAGCATGTGACTGTGGACACCTGGATAGCTAATTCCATAATGAGATTAGAGTTGTGATTCATTTTGTATACCATGGAAATATATATAGGGCATGCTGGTCTCCAAACTGCCCGAAGTTTAAAACTTGTATCCAAATTGTTCCTCTCTCTCCATGATAATGACTAATCATAATATACTCTTTGCTTTTTGTTCATGGTGCATTAGTGATGCATTCATATGTGCATCAAGCTTAACTCACAAAATAGAATATAATAGTCTAATTTTTCAAAGCACCTAAAACTCTTTGGCCTGTAGATTTTGAATGCAACTTCATACTTGGAGTGCTTGCTACTGCTTTTGATGATGACTCTAAGAGCATGATTGCAGCACTCAAACAATACCACAGCAGAAACCTCTGAGCTAACAAAACTCTGAGTGATCCAGGTTGGTAAGGAACGCAAACTTACTCAGGTCTGGAACCAACATGGTGTATTTACGTTGCCTTATGCCTAAGCAGAGACCCCTGGTGACCTAGTGGTTAGCATGCAGGACTCTCACTGCTGCAACCCGGGTTCGATTCCTCGGTCTCCCGGGCAGATGGAACCCGTTAGCCCTGTGAGGCCATCCATCTATGAGAAGGTCACTCTAAACAAACCTACGTCCTGAGGACCTCACTGCCATTGTCCAAGCTTGCTTGGCCCCGGCAGATGAACCTGAGGATTAAAGGGTGGGCTCAGTTCAGCGCATGCTGTGTCTCACCTAAAAAATCCATTGCGCAGGCTGGAAAGGTAAAAGACCTTTCCCCAAGTCTTCGTTCGCGAAGACTGGCCATTATTATTATGCCTAAGCAATAATTAAAAAAACAAACAAAGAAAAGAAACAACCCCCCCCCCACGTAAACAAACCAACCACAAAAAAAGCCCCACAAAACCAAAACAAAACCACCCAAACAAACAAACAAACAAACAACTCCTCCTGAAAACACAACAAAACCTACCCAAAAAGGCACCATATCGGAAGTCTCTAGCTGGTACATACTTACCAGTCTGTAAGTTATTCATTAAACATTTGTAAACATTTCCAGAACTGAGTTTGTGCTTCCAGGAGAGCATTTGCAGAATTAATCTAAAAAATATAAATGCATCTTTAACACAGTTACGAAGAATTTTTCTAAAACTCATTAATTTGATCAGGTTTGAATTTGATAATTCTAATGAAAAGATATGAAAAGATGTATGAGAAAAATGCCTCAAGATTTTATCTTTCTTTTCCCTGAAACATTCAAATTATAATTCATACTCCTATGAGGCAAAATAAACAGGTCTACTTTTTTAATACTCCTCAATTTGTTTTTGCTGCAATAATGACCTAGAAGTACTGTAGGGGTTGTTTGGGCCTACCCATGTGAATATTTTCTTTAGAGGAACTTTGCTACAACATCAGTGTTGTTGCTTTCCTTTTCTTTACTTCCACCCTCAACTCAAAATATAGTTCATAATGCTAACAAAAATATACGCCACTGTAGATAGACATTGTTAGTGTACTACTGTAGATGTGCACACACAGCAAAAAAGTATTTGCATGTTCATCGTCACTGGCATATTTAGAGAAGATTGCAAGTTTACATATACCACTATAACATAATCAGAGAAGAAAGGTATCTAGACGTGAGTACAAGATGCTGGAGAATATATGATCAAAGGTAGCTTCTCTACTTCTCAGAATAGCAACATTCATTGTGCAAAGACAGTCTTAGCGTACTGTTGCCCTAAACAGTTGTAGAGTTTTTTCGCTGTAGCTCTTGCAGACCAGACCAGGTGGTAGAAATCTCAGTAAGGAATATGGAGTCCTGCACATGGCTTAGATCTCTCATGTCAGCCTACAATGTATGTGATATATGAAGGCTGAACAGGAAATCATGTCTGCAGACCCATATGGCCACAATCTGCCAAATATAAGGGTTGATGAATCTAACTGAAGGTTGTTAAAAGGTGAATGTCTCAACAGCCTTTGTTGCCCAGTCCTTTTGTGCAGTGTGAAATTTAACAAAAACATACAGGTACATCCATGGCATTAAAACCAGCATCCTTCACAGGAGCGAGAATAGGTCAGACTTAAGGTTTTCTCCTTACATAGATATCTCTTTGGGTATACCTTTGACATATTCGTGAATATCATATGAATTAAAATCTGTCATTTTACACAGAACACAACAGTAATTCATAAAGATTGATGGGATACTTAAAGTGTTAACCTCTTCCTAAGGTGTCTAAGTACCCTGATATCCACTTCATTATCAATATTCCCTGCACTGTATTTATATAGATGAATAAATCTAAAATTGTTTAATTCATGTTATATGTTTAGGCATAAGGCTAGACTTAACTGGATGCTATAGTATGAAAACACAACACTACTGTAATTTGGGATTTTACAGGGCTTAATTTAAACATTGGAAATATATATTCCAAATAGCCAGAATGAAATCTTAACAAGCCATGATGAAAAATAAGACATCATTGAAAACACAAATGTTTAAACAAGGACTATGTCTATTTTGTTGTCATAAAATATTTTTGTTGAATTTTGTTTTAGCGACTCACTTGTGAGCTTTGATAAAGAGATACAGTGAAAACTGCAGTTACAAACATGAAGAACAAACCATCAAGTCTTAACCTGCTGCAAATGGTCATTTGGAATATGAGTATCTTTTTCAAAGAACTGACAAAACTGAGTTATTTGAATATTTAGAAATTACTTAGAAGGAAAGAAAGAACCTTCCACATTATTGTTAGTTTGTCATTTAAGCACGAAGATTGCTTGACTTCTTTCTTCTACCCATCTTCCTTCTGAGCTCTGTTTTGGAAACACTATTACTAAAGGAATTCTGCCCAGAGCTTTTCATATAAGCCTATACCAAGTGCAAAAATTTTGGATGCCTTCACCACACATCAAATTATACTCTGGTTCTTTCCATTCCTTTTAAAACTGCTTCCGATTTTTGACTCCATTGCAGTGCTCTTCTGTACTATGTATAGATAGTCAAATTTTGCTGTGAGTTCTCCTTTGGACTAACACGTCATGTTGCAGTGGAGTCCTGATCTCATAGAAATCCAGAGATTGCGCTAATGATGAACTCTGGCATTATGTAGCTGGCTTAGATGGTGGGACATGGAACCCCTGACTTCTAGTTTTAAGTTCACAAAGCTAATAGCTGGAGAAGGAGGCTGGAGGAATCCAATACATGTGGTGTTAACTTGATACAAATGTAATCAACAATTGATAAGATGCCACTTGGCAGCAGACGATGTTGGAGATTTACATAAAAACCACAGGAATTACACAAAACACTTCTAGTCTGTAAACAGACGTGAAAACTGATCTCAACTGGCGTATGCAAAAGCACTGCTTTTAGCTCTTGAGTTGAATGCAAATTACTTGAGAATTCTGGAAATTCTAATACATTATTTTATAGTCTTCTCTTATAGTTTGGAGCTGGCTCCCTGCCAAGTCTCCAAACCTTACCACAAGAAGTCCCCCCCACCCCAAACCAAGGGAGGAGAGGGAAAAAAACCCAAAAGAACCGAAAACGAGAGAGAGACAAAGCAGTATATATAAATATTTTTACAGTTATGTACAGTTGGAATATATATATTCAATTTCAGAGGGAAAAGGGAAAGGGGAAGGGAAGAACAAAACCCGAAATAATATATATATATATATTATCCCGATCAGTAGCCCAAGGTCTATCAACTAAAAGAATTAGCAGAGAATATCTTACTACTCTCCTTGGGACAATGGAGAATCACGCTGGGGTGACTGCCGGCAGCCTCTGCCTCCCAAGGTCGACAAGGCCTTACCAGGCCTCACCAGGCCTCACTCTCCAAGACAACAGACTCAACAGCAGGGAGATCTGCACCTCCAAAGCCGCCGGAAGGAAAGAGAGCGAAGGTCTTTCCTCCCTTCTTCTTATACCCCAGTTTACGTAAAAATCGTAGGGAATACTGGGTAAATCTGGGCACTTCCTTGGTTACAAGCTGGTCACCAAGGAAGGCCTAGGCCAAACTACCACATCTTCCTAGGTAGGAAAGCCATATAATGGTTTTTTCATCTTGTAAGAAGTGAAATGAAAAAAACCAGAGAGAGTATTTCTGCTGTGATATAATTGCAGAATACTTCTGCTGTGATACAGTTGCAGACATTGATGCTAATGAGAAAAACAGAAAAAGCCATGTTCCAAAGACAAGCTGAGCATGTATATGCTATGCTAATTTGGTTCAACGTCCTGACTACTGAATATAGCTGGGTCCGAGTTAAAAGGTTCTAAAATACTTGGAGGAGAAGAAAACCTAGGATCTTTCAGCCATTACTAGCCTCGTGAACTAACTCAAATGGTTTGTTGGATTCTGCCTTGCTACTATGACAGTTTCCTGGATAAAAACTTGATAACACTGTGTAGGTGCCTGGGTGTATATAAAGCTGTATTTCCTTTAATAAATTATTAGAAAAACATATAGATTATCACTAGGATATGATTGCTATTGGCATCAGAAAGTATTTTTTGTTATTCTTTATGGAAAGCAGATAATTTAGGACTCAGCTTTCTCAGGGAAAAAAGCCTAATGTAAGTAATTACCAAGTAGTCAGTTCAAATACTTAGAAATTACAGAAACAGCTATGATCCATGTTGCACTCATGTGTTTGGATAATTCATACTGTTCTGTATTTTGCAGTCCTTTACAGCCATTTCCCAGTTTCACTGAGCAGTCACTGTTTATTCTCTTGACCATTCAAGACTTATCTTTGCAAACACAACTGGAAATCCCTCTTAATTAAAAAAAAAAAAGTAAGCAAAGACTTAACTAATCAGCTGTTAACAATCAGTACCAGATTACAGTAACGCTTTAAAAATCAGGTCAGAGGAGGGGAGGAGAAAACCCTTAAAAATTCATGAAGTAGGTAGTAAATCTAGCTGACAGAAAATAAACTTCTCCAGCACTGAGGCAGTGAAAGTGGTGTTGATCCATATAGCTGCAGATGTGGCTCCAGGGTGCAATCTGTCCAGCTGCTCAATATCGGTGCTGCCACATGGGCACTGCAACAGGGAAGATAAATAATAAACCTCTTAGTCTAAGAGATAAATACAATTGGCAGCTGCTAATTTTCACACCAAAAGCCTGCTATTTCCCATTGCTAGGGAAAGAGAGTACTTCTTTTAGGTTTCTGATGAACACAAATAGAGGAGGAAGGAAGACCTCTCTTACTAACTTAGGTGAGTGAGGAAAGATTCTGGAATTTCATCTTCTCTCTTGCAATTGGTTATGCCAAGGAATACCCTTAAAAACATGGTTGTGCAGGGAATTTAGATAGAAGTTCACAGTTTAACACAGTTTCTTTAACACAAACTTAAAGAAAACTGCTTATCCTGACATCGTGGTTTCTGCTTTATGAGCCTGGTAGAATCTCACGCACTAGTCCACCAAATCCAGGATACCAAAGGAGATGAACCATTTGTCTTTCCTCCATGTTTAACCTAGAGGAAGTCAGTGCAATGAATTCGTTACAAATTTGAAGTATGTGAGAGAAGAATCAGGTGCAAGCAGTTCATTTGGTAGATGTGTGATTATTAAAGAACAGACGAGTAATTATGGAAGCCACCCCAGGCTAACCATAGGATGTCTTAAAAATGTATATGGCTGAAATAATTACAAGATGCATTTCTGTACTGCAGAAGTGCAGAATTGTAGAGATCTTAAATCCAAGCATTGAATCCTGGATTTATTAATGTAAATTTTCTAATCCCAGAAACCAATTACTAAAATATTTTGCCATTATCGCCCTTATAGCTCTTATTGAAGAAGGGAAATAAAAGCTTTCATACTTTGAAAGAATTTATTGTATTTGAAAAATCTTAGCTTCCTGTGATCCAGAACAAATCACCGAAAATCTTGCTTTGCTGGTTAATAGGAGATCACATTTGATGGATTACTGAGGTTCAACTAAATAATATTACAATGTTTCCCTCTTAATTTTGTCTTGGAGCAA